AGGATGTCTTTATTAAACAGCTGACAATCGACTAGAGTGTAGTTGGCTGTGCACAATCTAAATCACCCTCGGCAATTAGTGCAAACATGCTCAACAGTAAACACAATTGGTCAGAGTCAGGTAGCCATTCATGTTTAGGCACAAGGAGTATATACGGGAAAATACCAAAGAAGAAAAAATAGTGCTGGTAAAGGTCCCACTGCTATTCCTTATGATAAGTCGTTATGGGCAGTGTCTGCAGGTTCCCCCGTAGACATTAGTCACCAATGGGCAACCAGCAGCCAGAATACAATACTGCTCTGAAAGCATCAAGATTGTTGACATGTAAAGCTGGCCATAAACTGTGTGAATTTCGGATGATTATTGATAAACCGGATGAAATTTGCTCAGTTCGTGGCCCTGCTGGCCCCCTTCCATCCAGAAAATTGAAGTAGGCAGTCAAAAGATTTTCAGGTGAACAGTGACGACAGCCAATATTACAGCGTATGGCCAGCTTAAGTGTTCCTATTTATTTCTGATAATTATATAGCGCTGACAAATTACGCAGTGCTTTACATAGTGCTCGACATTCACATCAGTTCCTGACCTCAAGGAGCTTACAATCTAAGGTCTCTGTCTCACATGCATACTAGGGATGCACCGATACTAGCATGAGTATCAATACTTCTGGTCAGAGGGCGATCTCACTCTGACCGGTAGTGCCGAGGGAGCATTGAGCTGACTTCCCTTCCAATCAGGAAGCCGGGCAGCGGGTTATGATCCGCCTTCCTAGCCAATCAGTAAGCCAGATCATAACTCGTCCCTGGCTTTCTGATTGGCTAGGCAGCCCCTTCACTTGTTGCTAGGTAGCCGAGCAGCACCTCGTGATCCACCACCCAGCGGCTTCCTGATTGGTCAAGAAGCCAAGCAGCCTGGGGAAGTGAAGCTATTGTTCTATCGATAGAACACCGACTTCCCAAGTAATCAGGAAGCCGGGCGGTGGGTCATGATCCGCCGCCCGGCTTCCTGATAAACCGGGGCACACTGCACCAGTTAACGGTGTTGGCGAGTACCCCAAAAAATATGGGTAATCGATATCGTTGCATCCCTAATTTATACATATGAGAGCCAATTTAGACAAGAGCCAATTAACCTGCCAGCATGTTTTTTGAGTGTGGTGGGAAACCGGAGTACCCGGAGGAAACCCATACAAGCACATGGAGAACATGCACGCTCCTTGCAGGCAGTGACCTGGCTGGGGATTGTGCGGCCCTAGGCTCACGTCTTAATCAACAAATAGATTACAATCCTAGAGTACTTCTAGATATTTTTGAGAAAAAAAAAATATATTGAACACCACTGGCTTAGGAAACACTAAGTCTGACTAAACTCAGGGGACATACATTCTGTCCAGCTCCTTAAAATCAGCAGAAAATAAAACTAGTAACAAGGTAGGATTTATATTTCAAGATTCTATCGCATTAGGGCTCATTCACATGGGCTACATGCCTTAAAAGACACTCGGATCTCAGTGCCTGCGAGTCTGTACAGAATAACAGCAGACTGCAACTGTACACTGGTAAATCCTGCTCAGAGCGTATACCTGTGTACAGGCACAGATACATCCCTGCGCCCATGTAAATGAGCTCTTAAAAGTATCTACAGTCAAAGCGTTTTAAGTGGGTTTTTTGTGTTTTATTTTTTTTTCCAGTCTCTGTCCCATTGGGGAGATTTCCTTTTACTTCCGGTGCCAGGAAGACACAATGGAAGTGAAAATCTCTTTTAAAAGGAGAACTATGAGGTGAGTGCTTTTCACTCACCTCATAGTTCTAGCCGACCTGTGACAATGAGACTGTCACAGGTCGGCTCAGTAGATCGGGAGGTGAGCGAACACATACCGGCGTTCGCTCACCTCTCGATCCTGTCACGGCTCTCTGCCTTGACAGGGGAGGGTCTGGATTCCCCCCTCCCTGCTCCTATCCGCCAGCGCTGACTGGCGGAATGGACGGTGGAGGGGGCAGGTACAGCTGGCTCTGCCTCTAGATAGGCAGAGCCAGCTATCAGTCACGCAGCTGGGCGGATCCCGGCACAATTGTCGGGATCCGCTTCAGCTGCGGCGTCTCAGTATACCGCGAGCTGCAGTATACTGAGCCTAGGGTGTCTGGCCAAAAGCAGCTGGATTGTGTGACTTATGTCAGGTCTACAGCAACATCAAACATGTCCATCTATATCTTGTTAAGAAGGTGGACAACCAACACTGACAGCAATATTAGCCAATGGCCTTATGTACAAAGTTTCAGTAGGTCTATAAAAACCAACTGGTTTTCAATGATACGCTTTCTAGTTTGGATGACTAATATAGACAGACAAGAAAACTGTTCCTATGGCCCGATGTAAAGAAACTAGAAGAAATACAAATTAAAGAGGAAGTTTACCCATATCTTTGAAAGGACAACAAAGGCACCTTTAGAAATGTTTAGTAATGACAATCTACAAACACATACTTCTAGATAATTGCCGGCTTTTTATTCTTTGCAAACCTTATTTCTCTTTTCTTCCCCAGTCTTCTCACAGTGGCCATTTTACTAAGGGCAGATGAATACATTGCCCTTTACTTCCTGGAACTCTGGCACATAGGACTAGGGCATGTGACCATGTACATCATCTCAGGGGAGGAAAATGCCTTTCCCTGAGATCTCATGACATTACAGATGAGACTTCCCAGCAATGCTCTGCTGATGTAACCTTCCCAGGATGCAACGCTTGAGCAAATTACATCACTAATGCCCAAGAGGACCAGGATGTGGAAAAACAGTAATTGTAAGTAAAAGAAAAATGTTTAACTAATGAATATAAGAAAGTTTCATATTGGCATGCAGAGCTGCACACTGAGGTGATTTTTAGTGAAAGGGGTAAAAAAGGTCCACTTTAAGGGGCTGCAGATTCCAACATTACGCGTCTACAGGAAGTTGCCAAAAAGCATTTAATTTTAACCGGCTGCATCCGATTGGTTTTTATAAATCAACAGAATCTGCAAAACAGTCCATGATCCTTGGCATTTCCTAGGTAAGTATAGAGTTTTGAGTTCTACATCAAGCAGCCAAATAGTCTATCAATGGGCCAACACTGTACGACAGGATGCCCAGCTCCATCCTTTTAGAAAGATGTGCTGAACCTTGCTAATAAAATATATTATGTAACCTGTTAACAGAAAAGTCTCGGGTGTATGGGGAATATGAAGAGAAGAAATTACTAATAGCTTTTAAGAGACAAAGCAAGGCAGATGTCTTCTGAGAGAGCACGGACACGAGCACACTTCATAAAAATGAGCTTGTTAGAAGTAAAAAGTGACTCTCCAAGGTTACCCTGACATAAAACCTGTGAAGCAGCTGCTGCACGTGGATGCTGATTTTCTCATCTTTCAGAAGTAAAAAAAAAAAAAAAAGGAAGAAGGAGGTGTCTACACAAACTGTCAGTTTTCTGTGAGTAGGTCGGGGCATTTAGCATCCAAACAAATGTGTTCGCTTTCTTCATTTAGTCTAGAAGCTCAATTCAAACTTTAAATAGTTTACAGAACTGTAGGATAGTAACTGCTAAAAACGGTTTCACTAAGTACACAGCAAGGTTTATCTGAATACCAAAATAGACCGTATCTATAAAATGGATACCAAGGTATAATTATGTCATAAGTACAGGAAATGCAGATAAAGACAGCAGGTATGAAGCGTAATGGAAGAGCTAAACCCTCATCTACTAGATTACAGTATAATTCCCTTGAGTGCATGTATTGATGCACCAATGTCATGCAGAAACAATCTTAACATGAAAATACAATTAGGGAAATTTATAAAAAAAATGAAGCAGACAGAATCTAATCAGTTGTCCTTGGCAACTAATCATCTTCCACCTTTCCTTTTCAACGCTTAACTGAACAAACTGAAGATAGAAGCTGATCGGTTGCCATGAGCAACTACTCCAGATTCAGTCTGCTCCAGTTTTGATAAAATTACCCCAAATGTGAGCAACAAATTGAGAATACACCAACACAAGCCACAGTCATAATAAAGAGGACATACTGTCAGCAAATACAGAAAAACACAATCTTTTGTGAATAAAAGACGACAAAATATATGTTGATAGCTTGATGTAACAACATTAGGGATAAGCTCAGGTTCCAACCGAAGCCTGTCCAAACCTGAGCTCCTCCGAACACAGAAGGAAGCACATTCCATGCTGCCCTAAACAATATCCTAAAATAAAATTAACCCATTGTGCAAATTTATTGATGAACCGGCCACATTGCATATAGTGTATGGCCAGTTTTCCTCACGAACACCCGCAGTCTGCGTACTCAACAATTTAACAGGAGCATATTGATGAGGTCATTCCGCTACCCCTAATGCCGACCCTCTCTTCCTACCGGAGTGCCGCCTTTATACAGAGAATTACAGGATGCTTTTAACTAGCTGCATTTAAATGATACATTTAGTCATCTTTTTCATATAGAACTACATTCTCTGGAGATTTTCATACACATGTGTAATTCCACTTTAGGTATGCAGCATTTACAAGAATATGGATTTCCAAGGCCCTAGCCTTCACAGTGAGGCTAAAAAAATGTGAAAACCTGTAGAAGTACTAGGTGTGAAGATTTCTACTTCTAAAAGAACAATTAACTTAGTTATGGCGTGGTTTTCCATATTTCTATTTTCATTGTGTGAGGCTTCACTTGCATACAACAGGATTAACGTTGAAATTAAAACCTGACCAGCAAAGTAAATCAGAACAATAAAGGCCTATGTGTAAGAAACGACAGCAAGCTCTTCAAGGAACCCACCAGCTGTTTTCCATGCATTCCAGCAAGCACAGGAAGACATCCGGAACATCCAGAGCCAGCTGCTTGACATGGAAAAATAGGATTTATTTTGCAAAAACAACCTATTTAAGGGAAAAGCAAATGAAAACATCTGGTGGTGCCTTGAATCGGTTTGTTCCATTCTCCAGAAAGCAGTTTCACCTACCTTTCTTCCTGTTTGTTTCTCTACCATGATGTTGCAGTCGCTGTCAGAATTCTCACTTGGGGTTACTTTCGCAGATAATGTTTTGGGCATCTTCTTAAGAATTCAGTTCCCAGACCACATCAGCTTGATCATTATGTGCCTACAAGAAAAGAAGATATTGAAAACACAGAAAAGTCACAAAATGATTGTTACATCTACTATCTTCTAACTACACATTCAGTCAAAACGCTAATTACATGAATCAATGTGACATTGTAAAGTGCACTAATTGAAGTTATAAAACACTGGCACACTTATCAGGAATGGGAAGGTAAAAGCAACAACTACCTTCCAGAAAAGTGATTGGCATTTAGACGTTAGACAAATAGGTGGATTACTGTAGAGAATTGTACAAGACTGACGGGGATATTCATTATAGGGGGAGGCAGGAGAAGTGATCTAGACCAAAATAGCAGATCTGGAAAAATTCTTTAATTCAGCTCACTTTGCAGTTCAGCTATGTTGTCCTAGATTGTTCACTTCTCCTGCCTTCTCCAAACTCTTCACCCTTTTGTGAATAACTGTAAATTATTTTCATCTAGCCTAGTCTCCCTGTTGTGCCGAGTCCTGGGACCTGGAATTAGATGTGAAGCTCACCCAACAGACAGACAATTGGCCATGTGGTTAACAAATTCCTTCTCTGGTCCCGTTACATGAAGATCTGGACCTGTTGCATAAAGATTTATCAAGTTGGAAAAATTGTGTGAGCAGTAATGAGCACTTTCAACAATAAAAGCACTTTTAAACAGGTACCCCAACATGATCTGACCCTTGTTCCAGTGGGATACAGAGCCATCCAGGGGAGGTGGGATCTAAGTCTACCTATATTTATGAGTCTTTATTTATTAAGTGAACTGGTTGTGTTTTAAGCAGTGGGCAGGGCCATTCATGAGAAAACAGAGAGTACATATTTTCCCCATACCGATCATCTTTGACTAATAACATCAGGCACACGAGAAAATAATACAGGTATAGGCCTATAAATATGCACTTGACCCAAGAAAACTGGAAGCATCAATTAGCGATTCAACTGGAATACCAACTGAATGGTAACACAACAGCGTTTGCTTATTGACCGTAACATATAATGTCCAAAAAGAGTTCGGAACCGTTCATGGAGATTTCCTTCACTGAATGCTTCACCAGGGCCCTTCGACTAAGTGAAGCTATAAAATGGTTTTTTTTTTGCCAATTTTATTTTTGGAACATTTATGAATTATATGAACTGACCCTTTATATTTCTTTCCATTGTCTTTTAGATTGTAAGCCCTCACGGGCAGGGCCCTCCTTACCATCTTTCTTGAATTGTATTGTGACTGTTATGTCTTCCCTATATTGTAAAGCGCTGCGCAAACTGTTGGCGCCATATAAATCCTGTATAATAATAATAATTGCCGGTATAAAATCTTCATTTAACACAACACTTTGCAGAGCATACTGGGTTTTCTAACAAAGCCAAGCTGTGTCTGCTCTTTTTGGAATGTCTACATACAGGGCTGTATGTATGTGTGGGGGTTCCTCCCCAAGTTATTCAGCTGTGGGTCTATGTTGTGAACAACTTATTATAGCCGAAAAGTATGAAACTATAAAAAAACTGCCTAGAGTGCACCAACTGATGGCTGCAAGTGGTAAATAAGCATTCAATATTCCAAATATACTTGACCAAAAATTAACATTTAAAATATTTTTTTTTTGCTCTGAACTTAATAAAACAAACCTGACACAAAACACAAACCATTTCATTTAAAGTCAAGTTTAACCAAAGCCTGGAATGGTCTGCAGTTAGAAGTAGAAATAAAACACCAGTTAAAAAGAAATGAACTAAACTACAACTACACTTCAGCAAGCTCTGTCAGTGATCACTTAATGGGGCCCCTTCAGTTTCACAGGTACAATCTGTTTTTTAACAACTCGAGGACCCTCGCCCTCATTAACTTACAGGTTCCATCAAAAACAGCAGATGACATCTGTACTTATTGTGTGGGTGACAAAACGGTCATGCAAGATTGTGCAGCATTTTTAAAAGAACAAACCACTTAGCTAGGTTTTTATAAACATCTCATTCATGTGGAATATTTCTACTCAGGACACTATTTAAATTTTGGGGTAAATATCTGGAGTTTTGCTCATTATGAAAAATTTGGCAATTCCCTTTTTTCCTGCTTATTGCCAAGTTTTCTATTTTTGCTATGCGTTTGTTTAAAAGGAGAACTATGAGTCAAGTGCTTTTCACTCACCTCATAGTTCTAGCCGACCTGTGACAATGAGAGACTGTCACAGGTCGGCTCAGTAGATCGGGAGGTGAGCGAACACATACCGGCGTTCGCTCACCTCTCGATCCTGTCACAGCTCTCTGCCTTGACAGGGGAGGGGCTGGATTCCCCCCTCCCTGCTCCTATCCGCCAGCGCTGACTGGCGGAATGGACGGGGGCAGGTACAGCTGGTTCTGCCTCTAGATAGGCAGAGCCAGCTGTCACTCACGCAGTAATAATGTGTACATAATTAGTGTAGCTAACCAAGTAATTCATAATAAATTATTTTATTTGTCCTGATTTGTAGGGTATAGCATGTCTGGGATTTCAGTTTATTTTGGGAGTTATAGGTCACAAAATACAAGGAATGAAATACAATTTTTGTTTGGAACAAATTTTAGAATGTGGTATGTTTGTCTCCTAGTTTTAATAGCCTCCTCGGCACTTTATTTTCTTATAATTTTGTAAAAACTTTTTTCCATTTTTAAAAAACTATTTTTTTATTGTAATTTTTTTTTAACTAGGGGACACTGAGGTTTTTTTTTTCTTATATACAGGGGCTTTGATACTTAATAACTCTGAGGAGAATACAGTATTCTCCTCAGAGATACTTTGTATCAGTTTGCAACACACAGCCGACTTTGTGGCTGTCACGGCTCTGTGATCACAGCGATCAGCTCTCGCCATGATCACAGAACTGTGACCACCTAATCTGCCTCGGACCCCATCAACAGCAGTAACTCAATGAACACTGGTCCCTTCATGCACCAGCGCTTATTGTACTGCAGGACGGGATAATCCTGTCACCAGTCGTTAATTAACTGAACGATCATGACGGTGTAATCCCGTCATCAGTCTGGAAGGGTTAGTAGTAGAAAGCATTGTGGGCTGCATGTTAAACCCTAGCCACAGCTAAAATGAATAAAATCACTAAAGCTTACATTACATGAAAAGAGTAAATCTAAAGTAAATAGATCCAATTATACCAAGCACAAGCAGAAAAAAACAACAGGCAATGTCCGCAATAACACTGGACAGCAAATACTTGAAGGTAAAAAATTTCAGTAAAGAAATTAGTTAAATATGTGTTATGCCACTGACAATAACTATCGGAAATGCTAGCTGCCTGGCTGCGGTGCTGAACCGTCAGTCAATATTCTGACAGATAAACACAAACAAGTAAGCAGATGAGGACTTTTGACCTTACTCTGACCTTCCTGCTTGATCCTTCTCTGCAACACAATGGCTAAAAGCTGGTAGGTCAGCACAGATAAACAATGTAATATGCTCACTATTCAGTAATTTACACGAGGTGCACCAAACATCCAGGACAACACTAGACCACTATGTTCTCACACTCCATAGTGTCTACTAAAGATAGTCAGGAGGCTCTCACAGGATTATTCATTTTACACCACTGAATATACCAGTCAACCAAATATTCAGCAACAACTATACCAGAAGTTATCCATAAACAGATGATTTTTTTACTGATTCTGCCAATTCCATGGAAAAATAGAGAGAGTGAGCATTTTGGAATAATCCCTCCCCCCTCCATGACATACACTCAAAACCATCTGACAATGTAAATTAATATAAAACCACAATAATTCTGCATATATTAAATGCTAAATATCAGTATTCGCAAAAATATATCTTGTGCACCTGGTACTAAAAAAAAACCTTCAAACAGTGCATTCTTCTCAATGTTCACCCCAGGAGTACAAGAATACAGGTAAGTGTCCACCGATCTTGAGCAGTGTGAAACATTGTGCAGCATAATTATTCTGAGCAGGCATTTCTTTTCTCCAAACAGACAAATACAGGCAGTCCCCGAGTTACAAACATCCGACTTACATACGACCCCTACTTACAAACGGAGGCTATTACTGTACAGTAGAGAGTCCCAGGCTGCAGCCGAAGTGTACCGCGCAGCTTTTCAGTCGTTGTACCGCTACCGCGCTCATGCCGAAGCAGAGTACCCGCTTTTTTGGGGTTTGTAGTACTGTACGTACATTACAGGAAGTTGGCTCTTGTTAGATGTGCAGACGAGGGGTGCCCACAACTTCTTCCGGGTCACTGTGAGGTTTTTACTGCCGTCTGTATCCTCATTAGAAAGATTTAATCTCACTTTCTGTCCATACGACAACAGGAAGTGAGAGGAAATCTACCCCTAGGAAGGGAAATTCACTCCTGTAAGCGTTATCATGGGAAAAAGGTGTCTCCACCAAAGCTTTTGTCACCAATCCTTGTTTCCACGACAACCCAAAATTTTCAAAATCCAATTGTCACGGGGAGAGACAGTGAGGTGAAATCTTCTGAACAGGGGCACACACAGCAAAACAAATGTTACAGGGGGTTAACCCTTCCCTATGCTATTCAAAAGTAAAAACAATTTTTTTGGCTGGAGTTGCACTTAAAAAATGTACCTGTTCCAACTTACATACAAATTCAACTTAAGAACAAACCTACAGTTCCTATTTTGTTCGTAACCCGGGGACTGCCTGTATCTGTTCCACCATCTAAGATACAGATTCACCAGAGGGAAATGACCAATTCACTGAATAAGCTTGTCATAAAGGCATTGGTATTAAAGAGGAACTCCAGACTTTTCAAAAGTTAACATACCTGCTCCTCAATCCCACCTGACTGCTAAACCGGCCCCTGCCGCCTCTTCTCCTCCCAGGCTTCGGCAATCTCAGGACCCATGATGTCATCATGTCTATTAGTCATGAAGACGCAGAGGGAGATACCAGAGCTGGAGCGAGCGGGTGGGAGGAGAAGTGAGCGGTCACTGCCGCGGGACCGAGAATCAGGTGAATATATCTGCTTTATTCTGTTCCTTGGA